GCAATCTAGTTCCATAAAGATTAACAGCCTTGGAAATGCAGTGGGGGTGGCTATAAGTTGGAATTGACTCAATGGCAGTGGGTTTGGTTATTGGATACTGTGTATATTATACTACATTTTACTTAGTAATGTACACATACAATCTCATTCAATACCAACAATAACACTATGTGGTAGATACTTTATTCTTATTTAGTTGAGGAAACCCAATCACACTTCCTTACTATATTACAAAAAAAAAAAAAAGGAATTTTTCATATACTACCACTAAATTGGGAGCTCTGGTGGCATGGTAGCATGGTGGCGTAGTGCCGAAGGCATTTGACTGCTAACCAGAATGCTGGTGGTTCAAAGCACCAGTGGTAGATTAGGCAATCTACTTCCATAGTGCTGCTGCCTCAGAAAACCAAGAGGGGATCACTAAGAGTACGATCTGACTTGATGGTAGTGAGGGGTTTTATTTTTCCTTTTTTTTTTTGGTACCACACTACTTAATTTAGTGGTACCAAAAAAAAAAAAAAAAAAACAACCTCACTGCCATCAAGTCAGATCCTACTCTTAGTGACCCCCACTTTGGGTTTCCAAGGCAGCAGCACTATGGAAGTATACTGACCAATCTACCATGGGGGAGCTCTGGTAGCGTAGTGCCTAAGGCACTTGACTGCTAACCAGAAGGCTGGAGGTTCAAACCCACCAGCCACTCCTTGGAAGGAAGGTTGGGCAATCTACTTGTGTAGTGATACTGCCTCAGAAACCCAAGGAGGGATCGCTATGAGTCGGATCCTACTCGACAGCACATAACAACAACAACAAATTAAGTAAATTTGTACTTCGATTAAAAGAAAGCAAAGTTATGTTTACAAGCGAATAGATCTACTAATAGAATCATAAATGTATGAGTGTTCAAGGTTAAGCTTGTTCTTTTCTAAACTTTAAATTTGAGAAACAAACAGAATTATTTGGTAATTAGCACACATCCACTGAAAGCATAAAACATACTTGTGATATTGTACGTTAGGGATCAGGAAAGGAATACAAAGTTGTGAAGACTCTTCATTTATCTATTTATTTTTAATGTGCTCACTGATAATAAATATTAGATTTTCCCAAAAATACTCAAAACATAATTCTTTTGAAGACATAACACATTATCTCTCTAGTCTGAATTCTTAAATCTGTCATTTTTAGGAACATGAGTCAAACATAACTTTTATGAATAGTACTCAAATCTGCTACTAACTAGTCATTAAATGAACACCAAAACCACTAGGCCAGGAGATGGCAGTAAGTAAAAGAAATAAACTTGTTTTTAATTGGAGTGGATTTCCAAGTCCAATTTCTTTTTCTTATCCAAGGTTGTCCATAATGTTACTTGGGCCATAAAGTCAACATTGAGGTTTCAGTGATGGAGGCCTGGTAGAGAGTGGTAGGAACAGTCTCTAAAGAAATAAACAATTTTCAATGCTGGCTGAGATTTGTATCTTGGTGGCTCGCAAGCCCTTTGGGCAAAGCTACCAGTTGTCCTCATGCTCAAAATAGACTCAAATCCCTGCTTTTAAACCAATGGCTTTAAAGGGGACAGCTGACCACATATTATGATTTATTATACTAATGGATGAGTATATACCATATAAAATAAGCATGTTCATAAACAAAGAGCAATTACGAAAGCCAGTTTGTAAGCTTGCCTGTGCTAAAACACTAACTTGTGAGGTGCAGAAATGACTGAGAACACAATGCTTGTCACGGTGATGTACAATTATGGTAAAAGTAGGGTTTTAGTATTTTAAATGCTCAGTTGTTTTTCCCAGTCTATTTATTCCTTTTCCACAAACTGCAAGAACCACACTGAGCACCATGGTCATGTCTCAGGAAGTCTAATGTGGAACAAGGGATTCCAGAAATTACTTGTAAGATAGTTTATAATCAATATTGTATCAAATTTCTTCAGAAATTTGTAAAAGTGAGTTTGGAAGGTTATTATCCTTGGGAGGAAACTACAGTATAGGATTGTTTCAAAACCCTGTTGTTAGATTTGGAACCTAGATGTTCACCTTAGAGGACATTCAGTGGCGGACAGCAGCAGGGTGAGAAGGTTGTCTATTCAGTAGGATAAAGAAGAGGTAGGGAGTTTGCAACAGCAGTCTAGACTAGGTTGTCAGAGTCCAATGGGGTGAACAATGTGTCTCTGGGAAAAGGTAATGGAAGCCCAGCACAGAATGTTAGAACTAAAACAGGATAAGGATGGATTCTGCACATAGGGAATGGGAGGGCCTAGGATAGAATGTGGGAGCTCTGGTGGCATAGTGGGTAAGGCATTCAGCTGCTAACTATAAGGTCGGTGGTTCAAACCCACAGCCACTCTACAGGAGAAAGATGAGGCAGTCTGCTTCCAATTCACTCCTTGGAAACCCTATGAGGCAGTTCTACTCTGTACTGTAGGGTAGCTATGAATTGGGATTGACTCAGTGGCATTGGGTTAGGATGGAATGTTAGAACTCAAAAGGAATGGTAAGCATCCACATGGAATATGGAGAGCAAATGCCCAGAACAGAGAATCAGAACCCGAGCAAAGAGAAAAGTGTGCACACAGAAATCAGGGCACAAGTGGTGTGAGAAGAGCATCTGGGGGACAGAAATTGTTAGACGAAAAGAGAGTAACAACAGCCTTGAATGAGCTTTCAGAACCAAAAAGAGTGAGAAAGCTACCCAGGTGAGGGTGAGGGAGCAGGAATATCCCAGTACAAAGTATCAAACTCTAAGCAGAATAAGGAGGGCATCTGTTGAGGGAAGGATTTAAACAGTGTACCATTGTGTGAAGTGAAAGACTATGTATGTGGGGTTGCCCATGGCCTGGAGCAGGAAGACAGGGCCAAGTGAGACATCCATGAAAGAGGTAGCAGCTGTAATACGAGGTTACTTACATATAAGGGAAATGATGAAATAATTAAACAAATTGAGTATAATAGGAAGTGGGTTTCTTACTTTCAGAGAAGTTACAGATATGGAAAAGGAGAAAACTAAAATGAACTGTGTGGTACTGAATTGGAATTATGACATCAATATTGACTCATGATTTTTAACAAATAGATAAATAGATACATGTAGAAAATAGAAATAAATATATAAACTATGTATATGTATCTAGGAGTTCTGGTGGCGTAGTGCCTAAGGTATTTGACTGATAACCAGAAGGCTGGTGGTTCAAACCTACAAGTGACTCCTCGGAAGGAAGACTGAACAACGTACTTCTGTAGAGATACTGCCTCAGAAACCCAAGAAGGGTCACTGTAAGTCAGGACCAACTCAATGGCAGTGAGTTTAGTTTTATATATGTATGTGTGTATGCATATGCATGCATATATTCCCTAGCTCTGTCCACTAGGACAACCTAGGATCAGTTACAACCCAACAGCAATGCACAAAACTACCATCCAGTTCTTGGTATTTAAACACTTCATCATAACAGGAGTCAAGGCTCTTTGGAGAAAAGGCTGATTCTAGGGATGGAGCAAAAAAGAGAAAAGGACAAGATAAGACTTCAAACCTTACTGTCACAGAAAATAAGTAAATACTGAAAAAATGATAGGACATGTTGAAAGGACAGAGAGGGCCCTTCAAAGGGGAACACAGTGGCCAAAATAAGACAATTTGAACATTAAAATAATGATAGTAACAGATTACTACTTCTTAAAATAAAGTACAATCTGTACATCCATACTGATATAAATTTTAAAAAGAGAAAACTATCCCACAAAACAGAAGAGTAATTTAAAAATATAAGAAGGAATAAAGGAATTAGTAAGTAGCCACTTGACAATCATCATCATGAAACTTAACTTGGAAAGATACATTAATGGTTGTTAAAATTAATGGATGAAAATTTAATAAGGGAGAGCATATTTACATAATCTGAAAATATCTTAACCATATTTATTCAATTTGTATGCTGAACAAATAAACCAAGAATTTGGAGTATATATAGAAGAACACAGCATCAGAATTGGAGGAAGACTCATTAACAATCTGAGATATACAGATGATACAATGTCACTTGCTGAAAGTAAAGAGAACTTGAAGCTTTTACTGATGAAGATGAAAAAACAGCCCTCAGTATGGATTACACCTAATATTAAGAAAACAAAAATACTCACAACTAGACAAGTAAGTAACATCATGACAAACAGAGAAAAGAACAAAGTTGTGAAGGATTTCATTTCACTTGGATCCACAATCAACGCCCCTGGAAGCAGTAGTCAAGAAATCAAATGAAAGACAAATTTGCTGCAAAAAACTTCTTTAAAGTATTGAAAAACAAAGATGTTACTTTGAGGACCAAAGTGCACCAGATTCTAGACAGGACATTTTCAGTCACCTCATGTGCATGCGAAAGCAAGACAACAAATAAGGAAGACCAAAGGAAAACCGATGCTTTTGAATTGTGGTGATGGCGAAGAATATTTAATATACCATGGATCGCCAGAAGAACAAACAAATCTTTCTTGGAAGTACAGCCAGAATCCTCCTCAGAATAGAGGACAGTGAAACTTTGTTTCATGTCTTTGGACTTGTTTTCAGGAGGGATCAGTCCCTGGAGAAGGACATCGGGCTTGGTAAAGCAGAGGGTCAGTAAAAAAGAGGAAGACACTCGGTGAGATGGATGGACACAGTAGCAGTAACAATGGCTCAAGCATAGCAGTGACTGTGAGGATGGCACAGGACCAGATAGGGTTTAGTTCTGTTGTACATAATGCCACATGAGTCAGAACTGACTTGAAAACACTTAACAATAATACTTCAAAAGAAAGCATTTTTTTTTTTTTTTACACAGTATGGAAAGAGTCTTCCAGTTGAGTTTTAATTTGGGATATTCAGAAAATATGGCTCAGAAAACATGTCACCAATATGATTTATTACTAAATACAATAAATATCCAAGTTTTTCCATGGAAGTGAAAATTTTAATTATTAATATCCCAAGAATCCCACAGTGCAACATACCTGGAGAAGGAGCCTCTCAAAAGCCAGAAAATTGTCCCATTTGGTAGTCTGCAGGTGTTTCAGAGTTTGAACTGTAGCCAGCCCAAGTTGTAGGAGACCACAGTGATTCATTAGAGCTTTGTGGTTGTTCTTGAAGAGCTGAATATAGGATGTGAGCTGCCCTGGTGTGACTCTCCCTGGAAAAAACATAACAATTTATCATTGCACTCTCTTCTGAGACTAGTGAAAACAATGAGAAGGATGTCATTAATAACACCATTGCTTTACATTTGAACAGAACTTCAGACTTGACTCTCCTCACTGTTGCGAATCTTATAACACTCTGGTAAGAAACACAAAATTAATACTATACTCTGCATTTTGCAAGTAAAGAAATAGATGTTAAGTGACCTAATCAAAGCTATATTCTAAGAGAATTCATTTTGTTGTTGTTATTTGCTTTCTTTTTTTAAAAAAATAATTCTGCAATACTCTGTAAATAAGTTTTCAAATAAAGTTAGTTATAAACTAATATTTGTTGAGCTCAATATAGAGTATATTTCTTTAACACAAGATATAGCAATCTAAGGTAAGCACCTAAAGAAAAAGAGCAGTAGGAATAATAAATAGCAAGTTGAGTCTCATTCACCATGTTTCCTGGAACACTTTGTAAAGTGCAGTTCAATCCTGACTCTCAAACCAGCAAGCTAACAATTTGCTTGTTCAAACACTAATAGAAAAGAGCCTCTTTTATTTTTGTTTAAGTCAAATTCATTAAGGCATGATTTACAGGGAAACCGGCAAGATGGTAGACTAGGCAGAAAGACTGCACAGACCCTCATCAACAAAGAAAAGGCAAACCAATTAACACAGACACAGGAGATAATCCTGGAACCCTGAGCC